GGTTCATTTCGGACCGTACTGTGTTGGCTGCGGGCTCAGAGATTTTTCAGAGAGAATTATAAGATATATAAAGTAGGACAGTGGTTGTGAAACTCGGTCAGGGAATACGCATCCATGGACAGTTTCTCAAAAACAAGAATGATTTTACAAACTGATTTGGGCGCTTAACCGGTACATTATGCGGCCTTTATTATATTTCACCCATATTGTATGTCTTCCATCTTGGATTGCAGCAGATGTCAGAATTGTTTTTGCTTCAAATTGTTATATTTGATCTTAGTTTTTTAAGACTTTAATAGGTTAAATCTCAGGTTTCAACAAATGTGATGGTTTGTAAACAAATAAATATGTAAATGTATTTTATTTCTCTCTCGAACTCTCTATAAGTCCACACCTGTGTTGACTGCTTGTGTATTGTAGGACATTTTCTCTTTTATTCACCCACTACAACATCACTTACTCATCTTTCCCAAGAGTTACAACACGCGTTGGCCTTATATTATCCTCCTAAACCCAAACAGCGTTCCACTCTGCCGCCTTTTTCACCTTGTTGAGTCACAATGCATGCAGGCATGTCGAGGCAGACCCCCTATTTAAAGATGGTGCAAATGTTTGGGTGGCTCAACCCTTTCAAATTAAATGGATGGCATCCCAGGGAGGCCTATCAAAATGATTAAAACTGGTGGAAGACAGCATGTGTGTGAAGTGTCAAGACGAGTCGGCACAGGCTAGACGACCTGCACCGAGAGCCAGGAAGCTTATTAGCATTTCAGTGCATAGCAACCTGCCTAGCCCCGAGCACTGATCTTAACTTGGTCTGTCCAAAACTGCACCTCTCTCCCTCTCTCTTCTGCATGTGCAAAAAACATTCATGTCTAGTTGGTGGTTCACTCAAGTCAGGAATGTTTCTGTGTGTTAATGTCAAATCGGAGGTGCAGCCTGTTTGTATGCATTAGTGTGAGAGGTTAATACTGTCCAAGCGCTGCGTGAAGGAACAGCAAAGGTCATAACAAGTCCTCAGTTATCAGTTTACGGCATCAGACTGGAGCGTTGAAACAGATTAAAGCTCCGGTTTCAAGCGTTCTGAGGTGGAAATTAAATTTCTCTCAAGCTCATTAAAAGCAGTAAAATTCCTGTCATGTTTGGACTCAGCAGAAATGCCCGTTTTTATTGCGGTAAGAGAGTATTTCTCCGCCCATGTATGAAAACCTCTATGTTCTCAGGCTATAGCACAACTTTTACCTCAGTGCAGACATTCATTTGGAAGACCTTTAAACTTATGGAGATCTGTCTGAAGCGTAAAGTGCTCTTATTTTTCGAGTTTGATCAAATACTACTGCCCGACTGTTTCAGTTTTTGAAGAGTCGTAGTCAGGTGCTGCGGGCTAAAACAACTATCTGGACAAAAAGTGGCACCCTCTTTCATTTTTAATCTCAGTCATTCCCTTTTTCTCATCTCACCATCTTTGAGTCGATATTGACTACATAGCTCAAAAAAGGACAGTGCTGCAGACAAAGGAAAGTTGAAGTTACTGGTATGTTTGAACTATGGCAAGACTGTATATGGGCCTCATCCAATGTTATCTGGGATTTTCTTCAACCCCCCCCCCCACAGGCCCCAAAGGATAAGCACTATAGATAATGGATGGAGGACTGTATGGACTTGCCCATATTTCATCCTTCTCACTGGATGTTATTTCTACACAGTTGACTGTAATCAAGTCAAAACAAAATAATAACATTCCAGTCAAGTATCGCACCAAAAATGAAAGATAATCATTACACCAGTCGTCTTTGGAGTAGAACAGCAAAACACAATGCGATAACAACAATTAAACCTCAGAAACATGAGCAACCACAGAAAAACCCTGCAACGTTTCTCTCATTTTTACCCCACCAAGCTGCAAGTGCATCACAACCGGACCTGGACACTCAATCCGTCATCGGCCACACCGTGTTTCGATAGAGACCATTTTCTATGACTTTATTGACTCTGCGTTTTTATGCTCTTCTTCATCCTGACACTATAAAGAATGGGCTGACGGCGCTCGTCCGAGATCGGAGGCCATTTTGTGCCTGAGCTCTGTGTTCAACAATGTGACTAATGGGTCGCCCTGGAGGACCTCTAGGCATCAGTCAAAAGAGGGTTGTCATTACAGATATACGTAGATAATTAATATTTTAGAATTTCAATATGCTTATTTCCAATGCAAAAGAGACAAATTTGAGTTTGGGAAAGAAAATGGATTGCCTCTAAAATTGATAATTAAGCTCTCATCACGTACAGCGGGTTTCCCTTATCCCCAGACTAGCTCGTCTCAGTGAATCAACCTTTGCAGGGGGAGCCGGGGGAGTCCTCTTGCCTGCTAGCTCTCCACAAGCCCCCACAGTGCATCTCATTGTCTCGAACGTTTCTGCTCGTCTGCTGTTCTGTGTACGGTAGCTACCCTACCTTTGGCATGTGGTCGTTGCTAATTACTTTGAGCTGTTAAGGGAGACATATCTGGGGAGACAGGCACAAGGAAGAGACCTACAAACCCAGTTTAAAAGAAGAATCAGATTTTCCCGTTGCTCCTGATAGCTTTGTTTGACCTGTTAGATATGCATTGTTCTCATATGGGCAATATATTGGGTTGTACTTGTCGTTTAGCCCCGGCGAAAGAGAACGGCATGAAATGCTGCAGCTCTGCTAACAGCGTTTTTGAGCCACGTCTCAAATATTGTATTATGTGCAAATAAATCATAGACAGTTGAGAGATCTTGTCGATCAGATCATGTTTGCATATATAACTGTGTGTCTCTGTGTGTGTAGTAAGTGTAAGTCTAACTGCCCCTAGCAGCTGAAGTCTCCACCTCTTTTCTGACCCCAGTGTTTGTGGCCTGGGAGAAGTCAAATGTCATAAATCTTTGAAAAAAGAAAGAAAAAGACAAATGGTGAGCACAGTCATTATTGAAAACAAAAAAAGTTTCATTAATCAATATGGAATGGTAAATTAACCAGTATAAATCACTGTCCCGGCTACGGTAAGCCATGGCGGCGGTGTCAGGGATGGGGTTTCGCTTGCTCGCTGCCTGGTAAACTGCTCCATTTAACTCTCCTCCGACTCCCACTGGCTCATTGCTAAATAAGGATATCAATTAGGCTAAAGCACTCAGCAAAGGCTCCCAAGTTAACCATCAGCCGAGGCATGAATGGATCTTTGGGGATATTGACTGCTGCGGCAATAGGTTTGTAAGTGGGCTGACCAAGGGGTAATTAAAGCAGCATTATCATGTTACGCAGTTTATGGTACGTCTGTGGCTCTATGTGCCGTCCAAGCGTATCCGGCAAGACAGTGGAGGAAGAAAAACAGAATGAGGCACAGGCTGGGGTGTTGGGGTCAAGCTGGCTGCATCAGTGGAAAGGTCAGGTCTGAGTGTACTTACTCTGAAGTCTATTGTGTTGAAACTGATATGGCTAAATATAGCTATGGCTCCAATATTTAATCCTAAAAATGAGGATTTAAATTTTTTTATATACAACATTTAACAATGCTGATTTCTTGTCAGTTCTTTCAATCCAGTTTCCGTGAGTAAGACTAATCTCTTTACATGATATAAAGAAAACCATCTGAATTGGCTCGAGCCTTCCCCGCTATATGAGGTGGCCTTGATGTATGTGCAATTACAGCATAATTACAGCGATAATTACTGTATGGGCAAGATTAATAACTTTATTAGCTAAAATGGTTCACTTTTAAAAGAGGGAAATGTATACGTTGGTCTCGTGGAACTAAATTTGCTTAAAGTCAATTAACGGGCTGATTTTATATCTCATTACTCACACGTTTCACCTTGGAAAGGCACCTTGAGAAGCTAAATTTAAAATGTAAAAAGGTCAGGAAGTCCCCCGCACAATTAAGCCAGGAGTTTTTCTAAAGAATTCCATCACTATTGAGCAAATGACAAAGTGTCTATTTTGGCCAATCTAATGAGAAAGACCTACTTCAAACTGAAATCGTGTTAACTGTCGGACCGGTCTGTTCAACATATTTCAATTACCAGAGGAGAGTTAACTACAGTGTGCTCCGGCACTTTTATTTATCTCTTTTTGTGTTGGTTTTTGCGGTTGTTTCTGACGGGGAGCACCACGCTCACGGTGCGTGTGTTTTCTCCGAGCAACAATTGGCCCTTAAGCTCCTTTGAAACAATAATAACTCCTCCTCTTTAATTTAGCCAACCAAAGCCACATTGTGCCGTCGACAGGGGCTAGATTTGTTTTATCGGGACCTATTAACCATTTCCTTTTTCTTATTAAATGCATGCTCTCTAATTCGTAATTTTTCCAAACGTGATGTAATTATGATGTATCATTTCCCTCAAATAAAGGCCCTGTCCTCTCTTGGTGTTAATTTGAGCGTGTGAACTTTATACTTTGAACTAATTGGTTGCTGTCGAAATCCCCTGAATGTGAGTAATTTGATCAGGTATTCCATAACCATTGTACAATTTAATTTGAGTAATTTAATTGGATTTGACTGCTCATTTCTGGGCCACTTTCCACTCAGTATTCAAGAACTGCAGAGCTGCAGAGGTATCCTAAGGCAAACACACACACACGCACAGACACACACACACACACACACACACACACACAAGCTGCCACCAGTCGCTCACACCCACAGAGCTGCAAACTTCCCACTATATAGCAGAGCTGGATCAGACAGTGGACAACTGGCTAGCTTATTTTTTCTATAAATAATATGCATTCACTCTGATATGAAAAGTTGAAGTGAAACAAAATGTAAGGTAAATCGATGGTCACCCCACAGTGGTATCTGTCGGAGAATTTAAAGGTTGTTGTTTCTGCAACACCTTTTAGCTTCGTTGTTGAGATGCCATCAATACCATCACCCGCAACCAAATGTGCTTGCGTCCTGTGTTTAATGTCATTCACGCCGCACCACACAAGATTTTATGCGTCCTCAGAGGGTCAGCCATTCTTGTCTTGTCTTGTCTTAGCTGGGACCTGGAGAGTTGGAGGCAGCAGAGACGGAGCTCCCCTGCCACCCTGATGTGCTGGGAAAACAGTGCGAGGACCATGCTGAGAGACAGAAAGGGAGAGGAAGAAACGGAAAGGAAGGAAGAGGAGAGAGATTCACAGAATAGGGATATGGACAGAGAGAGGGAGAGCGAGAGATGCCCATGGGCAAGACTGCCGCTGTCTTGCCTCGGCCCTCCTAGTGCCAGGGACAGCGATGACGCTGCCACTCTGCATCAGTCTTGTGTAGTATTCATAGCAGCAGGTCCTCTAACTCAATTTATGACCTCCACCCTGGCTGAAGAATATAGGAGTTTAACAATGGGCAGCTCTGTAGGGAGTGAGTGCGTCGAGACCCCGGCAAGCAACTTCCTCATCTATTATTTCTCTTTTTATATATTGTGTAGAATGTGTCTTTTCTGGGAATTCCACAATAAAATGACTGTTATTTATCATTACCAACCTCTTTATCATTTAGTCAATAAAAGGCCTCTCACTTTCTCTCTCTCCTTCCCCGCATCGCGCTCTGGGAGTCAGATATCTGTATTAGTCCCCCCCTGCCTCGGGGCGAGCCGTGTCACAAGCTAAATCATGATCAGCTATGGCTTTCTGGCTAAATTGTGTATGAAGGCCGCGGGCGGAAAAGGTGCACATGCTTATTATTGGAGACACAGAGAGAAACCGACAGAAGTTTGCACATACACACATTTAAGCGCGCACGCACATACACACAAACAAAGCAATAATGAATCGCAATGCCACATATCTGCTATTAGAGTACACAGGTCGTGAAAATTTGTGTAAATAGTTCCAGTAATAACTTAAATTGTGTGAATGTTTGACTTTTTACATGCGAATCAACTGAAGACACATCACGTTGTTTTCACAGAGATAAATATTATAGTTACTAATCTCTTGTACGAGTTAACAGGGACATTAAGCTGATTTAACTGGTCAGCGTCATATCAGTGTATGTGCAAGCTTATCCATTGAGACCACAGGACTACATATTTTGTAGTTTCTTGAGAACCTTGAATACACTAGTTACACCACTTTGGTATTTGATTTAAGTGTTGAAATACTTCCACGAGGAGCTTATTAGCCAAATAGCCCTGGGATTTAGGGAGACTGGAGCTAATCGTCATATAACCCGGCTATAAATATTTTCCTTATTAACCATAATCACAACATTTTCTTAATATCAAATTTGAGTGCTTTAGTAAGTGGATTACTTTGATCATGAAGCAACTCTTGAGGAGTTGATAGAACATCCTGGATAATGATGATTCTGAGGAGGACTTCAGTTTTGACCAAATACATTTTTGTTTAATACTTCGCAGATGATGCCTCACAGTTTGAAAACCTCTTCCTCAACCTGCATGATGTTCAATGTTCAAATGTGAAAGAAGTGCAAGACCCAATATGATTATTCACGTATGGTTTTAACCAAAAGTGGGACTTTGAGCTCACTTTTGCTCCACATTGGATATGTGCACAGAAACGGACATAGCTTTCTATTCTTACTCAGTGGTCTTTTCATAGCAGTACCACCAGAAATTGTGGGTGGCAGTGTACATTATCAAAACCTCATCGACCGTCAACGTGTTTGTTGTTGTCAGAAACTCTCAACTCTATGCTGCCCACTAATGGATGTACTTGATCGTGTCCATGCCAATAATAAAGAATGCTTAGATTATGGGCAGGAACAGTTAGATGATTTGAAATCTGATCTCTTCTTCTTGTAGGTAAAGGAGGCATAAATATGCTTTTAGGATGAAAAACCCACAGTCCTCAGTGTCTAAGTCCTGCTTTTACACACAGTTTACAGATTTATTAAGGCCTACTGAGCAGATGCATGATACATATGTGCAAAACAGGAAAAATCAATCACTGATAACTACTTTTGTGAGCTGTTCCCTTGCTGTACCAAGCATGCTAACCAAGCATTCAGGACTTGGTGTCCCCCTTTAGGACATTATCACCTTGTCCAGTCCTCTGGAGGACCCTCCTCTCCCCTGTGGGCCAGAACTTCCTGCTAGCACTAATTAATTAAGAGGGCAGGTTGGCCACAGTGGAGAGCAGGCCCAGAGCCTGTTCAGCTCCTACCAGACAGTGTGCGCCTGGAGACCTATTGCCTCCTCTCTGTCTCCCAGAATGCCTCTGCACATCCTGTAGAAATAAACTGGAATTTAGGAGAGGGTATGTTGCATATTGAAACTGCACTGCAAGAGGAAGTAGCTGTAACTTTTGTGATAAAATACATTTTTAAATCCCTTGTGTGACGTCCATAACTACCTGTCTTCATTGTTGATTAACACTTCCACTGTCTGTAATTTCAGACAATAACCAAGCTAACAGATGGATCCATACATAACCTGAGCGTTATATAAAAATACACCACTTGTACTGGTGTACAGCTCTTCCTCATAACATTTGCACATTGTTCTTGTACACAATTGAAAAAAAAAATCTGTCACAGGGAAATAGAGCTGGGAAGCAAGTTGGGGAAATAATACGACCACATTTAATGAAAGGTTAAATTTTCATTTACTCACTATTGAGTGAGCTGAAAGGGCCATTATTTATTGTATTGGCATGATGTGGCCCATTAGTGCTGTATTGGAATTGGTTTGGCTTCTGTCTCCCTCCCCTTTCTCTCTGACTCTCTGCTGTTCAGTGTTGTGAGATCGCTCCAAGCTAAAGTTTGAGAGAAGACCTGTTTGTGTGTGTATGTGTGTGTGTGTGTGTCTGTCTGTGTGTGTGCGCGCATGTGTTTTCACATATGTGTGTACGAGAGAAAAGCAACCAGAGTCACAGATCCACAGATGTTCTGAATTCTTTTCGTTTATTTTGTCCGTCATCTGCATTTTTACATATCACACGGGCGATTCGGCCATCGATCTGTTGTTCTCGCGATCTCACTGGCGCATCAATGACAATCTAATTCCGTTCAACAGATTTTATTGGTTGCTCCCTCCGCAAAGTGACAAGACACATTGCAGCCGCGTGTAACCTAATGAAAGGGTGCTCTGCTCAATCCAGATTAAGTCACGAGACGGCGCAGCTCCGCCAGCACGCTGCACATTCATTTAGAAAGGCCTTCTAATTGGGGTTTGTTGGAAAGGAGGCAAGAGGTGCACATTTTACTTTGTTTCAAGTCACAGAAACCCTACTTTAGAATATTTACTCATTTGTTTATTAGCATCCCAGTGTACACAAGAAATAATTGCAATAATGAGGCAACATCTACATAATTCACAATTAAACACAGGGGCCCTGAGGCTAAACTTGCACAAATATTGAAGCACAAGACCAGGTCAATAGCTATGAGGTTAATAAGGGCATATATTTATTGTCTTGTTTTGAATATTTGCTTAGAAACGACAAATAAAAGCATCATTAAAACCCTCTATCTGCAGATGAGGAGGGTTTTAGCCTCATTGCACCAAAATCCTTTTTTTAATATTATTTCTCTGCTGTCGCTTTGTTGCTCAAAAATGTGTGGTTTTAAAGTGAATGCAGAATGGAAAGCAGCAGAAGTAATACTGTATAACACAGACTGTTAACTGCACAATCTGAATGAAATTTAAACACTTATTTTGTAAAAAGAGAACTTGAAAAAAACCTTTGTGTGAAAATGTAAAAAGGGCAGAAACTATTTGTGGCTTTAATTACTGTAACCTCTCCTGGTGACTAATAAGCAATTTATTTGTGTATCTTTTCTACTTGCGGTTCACTTTTCGTTGTCAGAAGCACTTTGTAAACTGTGGTGAACATTTTCCATTACTGTTTCTTCTTGCTTTTGTTCTCTTGCTTCTCTGTTGATCTTGCCCATCCTGCAATTTTTTGCTTTTTAGAATTAATCCAGGAAACATTCTCAATGCTAAAATGCAATATAGCATTTATAAATAAAGATTAATCTCATTGTAGAATCAGCACTGGGGTTAGTTGACCTTGGCAGCCAAAGTCTGTTTTCTTGTACTTAGAATTTCAGAGTTTTTGATTATTTAGGAGACTTAAATAAAAGTGCTCTGACACAGGGCATCGGATGGTCTGGGCTTTAGATAGACTGGCATGACTAGATAAATGTTGCAGTGTTACATTTCACATAGAAATGCAAACATAGTCTCATTTATGTTTAAACACACACACACACACTAATTCTCAACAGTGTTGCAGAGGTCAGTGTGCTCAGTATGGCAATGCCACTGTGAGTGCCATCTGGCAAACTGGGACCAAGTTTATACCTTCAGGAGCGGTGACCTGAGCCAATCGAGCACTTCACTGAGTCTGTGGTCACATTGTGTTGATCAGACGCTCTCTGTAGATTTCTTGTATCCTTACATCAAAGTTGTTTGCGTTCGGATTTTATAATGTTGCCTTGCATTAATAATAGTTGTCTATAATATGCAGAAATACATCCCAGCACGGTTCTGCTCATGCACCTTTACACATATAAAGGCATGTTCTTCAAACCTTACAAGTCCATCAAATCCCTCTGACACACTTTGTTCCCTCCTGTTTCCTATACTCTGCATAAACAGCGTGGGGCTTTACTGCCCTGTTTTCTGTTTGTCGGCGGCAGCGCCAACATCCGACACTAGCTCCCTGCCACTTTCACAGGCTGTAAACATCTGGGCAAGGTCTTTCATCTGGTCAGTGAGGGGGACCCAGGGGCTCTGGATTTGTACCACAATAAAAACAGACTCCCGCACTTGGTTTAGGAAGCTTCAAGCCTGCCACTGAGACAAACTCTGTTAAAAAGCCAAAGGAAAAAAAAAGGAAGCAGCTTTACAGGCCAACACCACAAATTAATACTTTCCTCCAGAAGGCAAAGTTGTTCCAGAGGAGGCTCATTAATTTTGCATAAAAAATGACAAATATCAGACATTTTGCTTCCTTGCATAACAATTTATTTTTCTTGGACCGTACTTATAAAAACATTACATTGTGATAATGGACAAAACAGGATTTGTGCACAATTGTTATATCTGCAAATCATTATTTAAGTGGCATATTCTTCAGTGCAAATATGAACTCAATACTATAATGCATAATATATTTATAATGTAGGCATTTTTATGGAACCTTTGTCACAAATAGATAAAGTTGGATGTTAAACTCCTACTCAAGGAGC